TAAAAAAGTTTAAGTCACACTCTATATAGCAGTTAAAAAGGAATGAGGTTTGGCTAGATATACTAATATATGGAATAATGCCAACAATGTATTTGTAAGTGACAAAAGCAAACTGCAAATTTAAATGCATTGGTAGAGTGGAAAGAATACAGCCTCTAGAATCACACAGACACTCCTCTGCCATTTACTAGGTATATAACCTTGAATAAGTTATAGTTAGACCTGTCTAGGCTTTAAGAGAGTTTATATATGTCTGCGTCTTCTGTGTCTACCTATGTTAGTAAGTAACACCAAAATACTGACAAAGGTTGGTTTCTTCTGTGGAGTGGAAACCTGAGAACAAGAGTTATGTCTGGATGAAAAACGGAGAATTTATACTTTACATAATATATCTTATTAAGGAAAAGCATTTTTGAGACAATAAACCACCAAATTCTTAGTTTAAAAACTGCTAGTTTGTTTTACCATGATTATATTAGCAGAGGTTTGAAAGGTAAGCTTACCTTGAAGGGTTCCAAGAAATACAACTACAGCTCAGCTTACATGAGATCTCATGCTGCAGAGACCACTGGCTGAGATTCATAACATCTGGCGCCTCATATATTCTTACTATACCATCTGCTGAACAGGTTGCTAACATAAGACCCATATGCTTGGGAGCAAATTTCACATCGGTAACAGACGTTCTACTATCCACTAGAGTTGTCCTTTTAACCTGAAAAAAAAAAGTTAATTTAAATTATATACAAAAAGAAAGCACTGGTAGAGTGGAAAGAATACAGGCTCTAGAATCATACAGACACTCCTCTGCCATTTACTAGGTATATAACCTCGAATAAGTTCTAATAAGACCTATCTAGGCCTTAATTTCCTACAAAGCACATAACAAAATATTGCATATATAGTTAGCAATCACTAACAAATTAGTGAGCTACAATTAATTATTCCCCTTAAGGCAAAAGAACATCTGCCTTAGAAAGTCTAACTTTATACAGGTAAACTCTCTTAAGCAGACTGGTCACAAAAACCCAGAAAATGTTAGAATTTTCATATAGGTGGTTTTGTAATGCCAAGCATGCTACAAGCAATAAATTAAATGAATTAAGATACTTCAATAGTAAATGGAAGGCATGCAATTTCTTCTCTCAAGCATAAATGTCACCTAATCCTACTTGGACCACTACCATCCACTTTCTATCTTTTTTTTTTGAGACAGACTCTTGCTTTGTCACCTGGGCTAGAATGCTGTGGCGTCAGCCTAGCTGACAGCAACCTC